CAGATGGTGTATCATGGCCAGATCATGTAGACTCGCGTCATCATCCAGGTCTAACGTGATATCCGCCGTCATGCCCCAGATTAAACCGGCGTTAGGATGAGGACACCACGAAGGCTTCATGAGTTCCCACATCGTTACTAGACTGGTTTTCAAGGCACCGTCCCAAGAACCACAATCAAAACTCACCTTCCCCTTTAGCTCGGGAACCGAGGGTTCGACCACTCGTTCTTCTAAGATAATTCCCAGCTTGGGTTGTTCCACCATCAGCATTCCAGTTTCTTTAATCCGTTCAACCCAGAAATTGAGTAGTATGACTTGCTCATAGTCGAAGTACGCTTCCCTGGCTTCTTCATTCACGAAGGGATTATACGCCATCCCCGGTATGCCAGACACATATTGTAACGACTTCAGTTTCCCTAGTGTTGCAAAGTCTTTTTGTCCCCTGACTGCTTCAATCAACTCCCGGTTCACTTTCAACTCTTTGTTGGAATATCTTCTCACTTCTTCCAACTTGCGATAGCTCTCCATGTCATTCGACTCCCTATTTGGTACAGTCAACGGCATATCCTGATATAGTTCCAGGAGTGCCCTAAGGAAGTTTCTTTCGCAATCAACTCCCTTTTGCCGAACGATCTTTATGCATTCTCCCAAAACAGGAGCGGGGAACCTGACAAAGCAAGGGGCATCCTTACGCTTAGCCCATGCTATCGCAGAATCGTCTTTTGAAATCAACGCTCGCAGAGCTTCCATCAACTCCAGCTCCTGTTCCCGTGATTTTGAATCATTACTGGCTTCATATTCCGCCTTCTTGATGCCCATCAAGCACCAAGCCAACCGTACTTGCAGGTCATTTCTCGTGCACGGATGAGCCAGGTACGCTGCCATCGTCGCAGGTGCATGCATCGTCTCGTCGAAGTATCTCTGGAGGGCCGCCCTCCAAGAAATTTCTAGTAGTTTTTCCAATCCGATTTTGTTCGCTTCCGAGGACATTACCGTGCCGTATTCTTTCCGATTTAAGTTAGAATTCTCCGTAAGCCCTTTCAGATGTTCCTGCATGGCTCGCTTCTCGCTCCAAGCCATCAAGTGCCCTCTCGCGGAGTTCCTCGCTTTCAACATCTCCACATAACCCCCTGCTGGATCTCCCATGTGGACCGATTCCGGCACAGTGACTCGACTGTACTCGACCACGTCGAGTTGGCCTTCCAGTTTCAATTTGGCCATGTTGGTTCGCGAGGGCCTGTAATCTCCAAGTCCTCCAGATCCACATTGACTGATGATCTCCATCTCTAACTTAGTGTCTGTAAGGGTTCGGGCTGTCTTTTTTGATTTCATGGCTGTCGTGGTCAGACCTGCCAAGAGCATAGGGGGTATCAGATTCTCTTTTTCTCCCCCTAATTCTCGCACCATCTCCTTGCCCGCTCTCGCCTGAACGACCTGTGCTCGTCAGAGAGGCCACCACTGCGCTGGCTTTCGACTTCACCACTCTCGGGTTCACGGCTCGACTTCCTGTCTTCCCTTTTAGTCGCTTCAGCCCCTTTCTGGCTCGTCTAACGGGTAATTTCTTTGTGACCTGCTGATCATCGGCACTGTCTTCTGTAACTGACTCGGTCAGAACATCCGACTCCATGGAGTTCACTATTTTCTCCAGGACCTCACGCATGATGGGTTGGTTCAATCCGACCTTCATTATGGACTGCGTCCCATATCGTCGTATCACGTCCCATGACCTTTCCATGAAATTCACTCGGCTCCAGGTTGCCCCTGTCTTGCCTTCTAACTCACTTTGATATCTCTCCCATTCCTCTTCCGGTAGCGTACTCAGGAAGGATACCCTCATTGATTCTTCGATTTTTCTCCTCCTCGGTGACTCATGGAGCAATCTCTGCGGATCCCTGCTTCGGCACTCTCTCGCCTGATTTATTGGGTCCATCGGAGATAAGTCAGCCGACGCCTCCTTTGTAGGGGACATGAAAGACGATGGCGTCATAGACTCCCATCGACCTCCCCATCGTCGTCTTCACTGAACCGGTATTCTAGCAAGTCTCTCTCCAACGCTCCTAGATCCGTCTTTCCCTCGATGTGGTTATCGTTATCGTCCTGATCCATCAATTCATCGTCATCTGCATCAGGTTTCGGCTTGGGTCCTGAAGGGCCTTGTCGTGTGTCTATGCCCGAGTCCGGCCGAGCCGGTACGGTCATGTCTCCTGCGTGATAAAACAATTCATCGTTCACCAGGAATTCTACGGACTCCTCGCCATGTGGTGCCAGGTCCTCTATCATTATGTATGAGCCTCCTCTGCTCTCCTTTGCCACTTCCAGCATCACTACTTTCACTTCTCCTGACCACTTCAGTCTTGATAAGTCATCTGTGGGAGTATACACCTCGTTCCACATTTCAGCCGAGATCTCTGGTCTCCTGGAAGGTAGTGCCTTGATCTTTTTCCTACTCCAAGCATCAGGAAATGAGAAGTCAAACTTGTGCGCGGCTGCAACATTCCAGCTGATGAAGCGCGGCTCCATCTCTTTACTCCACTTCAGCATTCTCTTCTCTGCATCACGAGCTGCTCCGATGCGAGGGGCAATGACGGGAGATGTGACTCCCAACAACATCCTCCTTATCGGTGAATATCGAGGGCATTGGTCCGGCAGCGGCCTGGACCCAGAAAGCCACGCTTGCTGGTTCTCTTTCGCGTGTGCGTAGGCTTCTGGCAAGAGTGGGACTCTCATATCCACTCCTGTATCCTTCACTACTGGTCTCAAATTCCAAAGCTTCGGTTTAAACTGGATGTGGGAAAGATCCTCACGGCCCATTCGGCACTTGAAGTGGTTGTTGAAATCCATCAACACCCAACCTGGCTCCGCTATTGTTCCGAACAGCCTATCGTCGCTGGCCAGCCCTCTCAGCTCCCTCTGCTCTACCCAATTCAGCACGGAACAATCCACGACTGAGATCAGGTTGACATACAACACAGAATTCCTGCATGCCTTGACTTGCACGTCCGGGAACGCGAAAGACATCACCGGTCCATACACCACCGTGACGAATTCCCGCAGTCCGTGAATCAGAGCCAACGGATCGATCCGCATCATGACAGCCAAATCTGTCAGCAAAGGCATTCCACAATACTGCTTACACTCACCCGCATCCGTCGCCACCTTATCTTCTCCCGTGACGTTTCTGTTCTGTTGCAAGAGGTATTGGAGCATGAGAGTCCTCCAGTCTTTCATCTTCCTGAGCGAGGCGGTTTCCAACTGCGCGTTGAACTCACGATTTGTTCCCTGGAGTTGTTCAGGGTAACGCAACAGCACAAGCAAATCACCCAGTCGACCGTAGGTCATGGCAATCAGAGTCAGGAGTCCATCCAATCTCAAATCTGCCAACGCTTGGGTGAAGAGGTTCGCCGGTCCCTTCACGAAATTTTCATGACCAAATGTCACGTATAGGGCTAATATCAAGCCAATCGACAACTTCCTGATGTCCTTGACGAAACTCGCGATCAGGTTCCGAGATGCCCTCGGATAGCACGTCGACAGGAAGGATGGTGTCCATCCCACTCCCATTCCACCCAAGATGGCATCCGATCGTTCATACTGTGCCCTCGTGGCTAGCACGACAGCTTGGAACTTCTCCAGTGACATCGTGTTTACGTCCTGCATCAATTTCAACATCATGCCCCCAGCTAACTCCCAGGCATCAAACAAGTTCTTCAGATACACGTGTATCTCTTTTATCACTGCCGGCGCATGCTCGAACGCGTCCTCACCCAAGGTGCACAGCCTTGGCGACAAGTACAACCATACGTTGTTGTGCGGCTTTGTGCGCAAAGCCATTGCCATGAGATCCTTTTCCGCTGACGTCATGTTCTTCCTGACTGTCCTTCCCTGCTCATTCTCGGCATGATCCATCTGTCTGAACCAGAGATCATCAGCCACCTGTTGTACTAACAGATGATCGTCATCTACCCCTGGTCTTAACTTCAGCAATCTGGCAAAGTTGGACAGCTCCAACCCCAGAACCTCATCTAGCACCAACCGAGTTGTGCTACAATCTTTGAGTCCTTGTATGGCATTGGAAATGTCAGCCCAAACGGCAGGAAGCTCAGATCGGGACGGGTAGTAATTGTTTGGGTCTACCACTCTGTTCGGGGCAGGAATTATTACGTTGAACCGTCCCTCTGCCATCGTTGTGACCATCGTGTACACAAACTGAAGGGGTTCTGGCAATGCAGCGTACCCTGGTGACAACACAAAGACCACCTTCACTACATTTTGGGTGAAACGTTGTTTTGCTGCTGTTTCTACCTCAGCCATTGCCGAGAGCAATGTCATTATCGCCTCCCCTATGACCTCGTTGCTCGGGATCGACCCATCCGTCAGACGTGTCAACAAGCCCCTGCTTTGTAGATGATCATTTGAGCCTGCAACCACTATCACCTGCGGCTCCATGCTGACCACCCTTCGTACACTTATCATCATGCCTATTGCCTGTCACCAGTCCAATTTAGGCGCCGTCAAGAAAATCACGTCGGGCCAAAAGAGAGAACGGGGCGTATAGAGATAATCTGAACTGGCCACAATCAGATACTTGGCAGCTTTCATATCTAAGGGATCATAAGCTGCAAACAGGCCGTCGCCTATTGGGGCCTTCAGTTTCCCATATCTCTTGTCATCTCCATCCACCGTGGTCGTTCGGGGGTAGTCCCTCGAATACTCGCCAGGCGTCTGACCGGGTGGTTTAGCAAACTGCCTGTACATCTTGTGATGCTTGTTATTGGGCTTGTTCTCTGCCTGAAACTTGCCCTTGCGAGCAGGTGGCGTCAGTTCCCGGGCTCTCTGTCGGACGTCCGTAAGAGACCGGGTATTCAAAGGTCCAAAGGTATTGTCCTGAGGCAACCCATTCAAGTCTGCGTGCCGGAGCGTAGTCGTGGAACTCAACTGCTCCTGCTCTACTAGCAGCCAATCCACGCTAGGTATCCGATATAGTCGCGACACTGTGGGACTTTCTCCGCCAATCATTTTCATTGCGTCCTCCCGACACGTCAAAGTATTCATGTTCAACTTCGTTGACATGTCCGCCTCGTACTGTCTCCAATGACTAGGGTCTGATCGGTTCCAAAGCAGCACGATGCCTGGTTCAACTCCCTCCACTGGCACGGCGCTCGTAGACGGTCCGGCTGCTGAAGCTGGGTTTGCCATGGCAGGCGGATCGTTCCTCCTAGACACGGTCTGGGAGTTATTCCTGTTCTGATCAACTGATCTCCCGAGTCGGCTTTCAAGCGGTTGTGTTCTGGGAGGAGGAGCAGTCCCTAGCCTCTCTCTTACGTTTGAGCTCGGAGCGACGGTTGCAGCTGCAGCCGTCTCCATCGCCAAGGGCTCTAGGCGGTTGACGAGGGATTCGGGCACGCTTGCCCTTATTCTATCTCCTCCGGTCGAGCTGGTCCGAGCCAGAGAACTGGTCGCCCTCGACTCCTGCTCCACTTCCCTCAATTGCGTCTGAAATACATCATTGACCCAGTGTCTCCCTCGTTGGGTGTTGAAATGTATTCCATCTCTGGTAAGCGCGATGTGATCAATCATGCGCAGCATGTTTTCGAGATCCAGAAGTCGCAGCTCGCCAGGGTTGTTTCTCACCAGACTGCGGATCATTTCGTTCCACCGTGTCACGTTGCCATTCATGAATTCTGGTACTGTGGTGCCCACCAGCGGGTTTTGTGGTATCGTGCACAACACTACAAGCCTGGGCCTGTAATTCTCCTTCAGTTCGTTTAAGAGGCATACCATTAGAGGCTCCCACTTGCTCTCCGGAGTCACTGGGGCTCTCGAGACGTCGTTGTTTCCCAGCATTATTACCAATATATCCAGGTGATCTTCGTTCTGGAACTCCATCATCTTGATGACCTGAGCCACTGAGGCTCCTCCAAAGAACAGAGTGGTAGTCTGACCATAGACGAAGATCTCATTCAGATCCCTCAACAAACTGTCTCCTATGATCAAGTGGCCACTCCCTGGGGCAATTACCTGAGCGCTCATAGCGGGGTTCCAGCTCATGTCATTCAGGCAGGCTCGAGGATGCTCCGCGGCCACTTGCGTGAACTGGTGACGTGCCATCAGATTCTTCCTAATGTCTACCACGCGGGACTTTTGAAAGGTTCCGCCATGCGCAGTCCCCGAGGACGCTACCGTGCGGGGTGCTCGCTCCGAGCTATTGGATGAATGATCAAGACGTTGGGAAGGAACGATCCTACCCAATGTCCGCCCAGTGGTTCTGTTGATCTCATCCATTGTTGCTCTGGCCACTTGGTTGAATGATTCCTGGAACTGAGGAGCGAGATAGGTGTCAGAAGGGTCTGGTATTGTGTTCCTCTGACTGGAAGCAGACTGTTGTGTCTGCTGAGGAGCCTCGGGCCCTCTCGATGCACACAGCTCCTGTACTCTTGTCTTGGGGCGTGTGTCGCTGGATCCCTCCGAGGATTTCATTGTCGCCAGAACTTCCTGTGACACTTGGCTCACCTTTGCCATATACAGCTCCTTCAGGTGCTTTATTTCATCCTCCTTGTAGGCCACCTGTAGATCTTCAAATTTCTTCTTCCATTCGTCTCTTTCTCGAGCTATCGCTCTATAATCCTGGAGTTTGGCACACAGCTCGCTCTGATCTCTCTCCTTCTTCTCCAGCGTCTCAATCGTCTCCGACGTCTGGATCTCTATTTCACTCACCCTCACTCTCTTCGGAGGAGGAGCAGCTGTTGGAGAGTCGACCGAATGTGACGGGCCTGGCCCATCACGTTGTCTCTTCGCTCCGATGAGTGGTCGCGCAGGTTGGACGGGTAAGGGCATCTCACCTAGCCGGTGGTCCCTCTGTTCACCTAGTCCTGGCTCACGAGCCAGGTCGTGGCCAGACATTTCTCCACGCCGCCATCTCATCAGTCGGTTTCGACCTCTCTCGGCGGTCCCGGACTCACCGAAGGCCAACATCAACACGACTTCTGTAGGGCGATTCCCTCGACCCTCTCGTCCTAATGCATTGAGGAGCGCGACCACAAACATCGCCAGCCCCGGGTCTTCTCGTGTAAAATCACAATCGATCAGCCGCTGATAGATCTCGTCCAGAGTCGCTCCTAGACTCGCTGAGAGGAATTCCATGAGTTCGTTTGTGTCACCCATTTTTTATCGTGTTGATTCTTGCTGTCGTGTAGTTTCTTCCTGTCTCGTTTGATTCAATGAATTCAATAAACAATTTCCGATCAATCAAGATCTAAAAAACAAGTCGCGACTTAAAACCATCATTTTTGGATTAAACATCATTCAACTCTTTAAAACTCTTCATTGAAATTCTTTTCTCAATCCTGATTTAAAAATTTAGCACCAAGGTGGATCGTCCACCTGTATCTTTGTCAGGGTAGCACAAATGAGCGCTGTCACCTTGATGACCTGGAGTACTCTAGGTCTAACATAAAACATATCATAACAATAACATAACACATAAACACATAAACATCACACATCTATATTATCACATAAAAACCTAATCCCTAACATTGTACCTAAAACCTAATCTAAATCCTAATCTAAAACTTGACACTAATTCTTATCAAGTAACTTAATAAAAACCACTTATCGCCAAACGCAATGCCTAGCATATGCTCAGATAGTAAACCTCTATGTCAGTTTCTGAAAATATCACATGTACAAGTGCGTACAACTCTCTCGGATGTAGCTTTCCCCTATTAGGGTCATATACTGGTAACGAGAGAGAGGTCACTCCTCTCTCAACCAAAAAAACCCTAAGTCGAGTCAAGGCCAATACCAAGCTCTTTGGATCTACGTGTTGCCTATCAGTGGCCTTGGTAACCAGGAAACACAAATATTTCCCTGGTATATGGGATGCATGCAACAGGGGGCAGCGCTATCATCCCTCCCACACCAGGCCTCTGTTTCCATAAAAATTCGATGTTCTTATACTCTCTTTTGAAATCAGCCGCTATTGCTGTTTTGAAGCTTACGTCCGCGGTTATCGCTATAGCGCACGTGCGTTCAGTGAGTATGAAATCGCTGTCCGTTATGACGATATTGTTTGAATAATGGTTCGGTAGGTCAAAATACGATTCAAAAATTCGTCCAAAAGGTGGTTTTTTAGCCTTCTCGTCCTCTGTCTCTAGTTCTCCGGTTTCTCTTGCCGATTTCAATTTTTTTATTATCAGATTTTCGGTGTGGGTGAGTCCTACCCCCACTCCCCGGACAAAAATATCCATCGACGTCCCCGTCGATCGCCCAAAGTCTAGGCGATCGAAGTTGGGTTGTGGAACACGTAGAGGACCATCTGGGGCGACCCAGTTGGACTCGGTATTGTCATGACTGATGTATTTGATGCCGTCTTTATCGACGTCCTGAATCGTCAGGATCGTTTCCTTTGGATCTGTCGGCAGATCATGGAGCCAATCGAGCACGCGCAAACTCGTTAGTTCTTGCTCATGAGTCTGTTCCGCTTCTGGTTCGAACTCCACTTCCGGTTCTGATCGATCGTCGATCCAATCCTGATCCATATCATTCACCAAGTCGATTTCTTCTAGCACCGCCACTTTGTCCAGTCCCACTAGCGAGTCCATGACATCACTTATAACTATCCTGTCTACAACGAAATCCTCGACGTACAGATTGTATTTCTTCTTGTTTTTTCCTCTCTTGCTCTGGCGTGTTTCCATGGTGAGAGGAAAGTCAGGCTGTATTCCTTTGTCAATTTCGATTTGTTCCGGGCAGTCCCAGTCTTCCTCGGCATAAGGTAGAGTTTCATCGTCCACCTCTACTCGCTCGGTCAACTCCAGATCCAGTGGTAGGTCGCAATCGTCCACCACCTCATTCCCGTCGTTTTTGTGGCGAGTACCCCTTTCATTCACTTCACAAGCAGGATCCACTATCAAATAGTCGCCCTCTTGCATGTCCGCTGGGATGCACCAGTCCTCTGACGAGGCATTGTGTGGTTTGATAATTTCATAATGAGCTGCTCTTCCAGTGCTCAATCGATAAAAACGACCTCCTTGGTGCACCTCTGTTATCTGAAATGGACCACGCCATTTCTTTAATAATTTCTTGGTTCCTTTTGGTGGAACCACTTCCTCTGGAACACCCAGACGTAGTCGCCAACTGAGTAGGTTTTCGCATCGGCTGTCCTTTTATCAAACCTCCTTTTTGTCTAATTTGCGCCTGTTGCGTGTTCCTCCTGCATAAGTCATTGAGGTCCTGCTGTCTTCTAATAACATCCCGCACGTACGTTTGCGGTGCTGTTCTCTTCCCCTCATATTTAGGGTAGAAAAACGTCAACGGAAGCGCTTTTTCGTGACCCGTTAGCATCATGTGCGGACTTATTCCCGTGGTGGAATTCTCAGTGCTGTTGTAAGCACCCATCACTTGCGGCAAGTGCTTGTCCCAGTCATCCATGTAACGCGAGCAATAGACTCTCAGCATGGATACCAGTGTGCGATTTTGCCTCTCGACTAGGCCATTCGTTTGCGGGTGATAAGTGGTCGAGTGGGCCTGCGCTACCTGCGACCTTTTCATTAACTCCTTCGTGAGATCACCCACGAATGCTTTGCCATTGTCCGATTGGAACGTGATGGGGCAGCCATGGCTCGCTATCCACACATTTATCAAATGATCGCATGTTTCTTCCGCCGATGCTGTCATGCAGGGTGCTGCCTCCGCATACTTCGTAAAATGGTCGATCATTACCAGCACCTGATTATAGCCCATTGCTGTCATGCAGATTTTCTGATGATCAAATTGCACCACTTCGTTGAATCCCGACGACTCTATTGATTGTAGAGGGAACCTTAGTTTCCTGGGATCCTTCGCCTGCTGACATGACAGGCATACGGCGATCCACTTCTCACAAGCCTTCTTCAATCCCGGCCATTCGAATCGTTTCTGTATCCTGTTGTACACTTTGTCCACGACTTGATGGCCCATCTGATCATGTGAGCGAAAGAGCAATTCGGTTTGGTACAACTGTGGTAACACTATTGAATTGTATTTATAAAGGACCTTGTCCTCCTCTTTACGTTTACAGGCTACGATTCCGTCCTTGTTCAGGTACAACAAGTCGCTTCTCTTCAGGTAGAATTGCTTCAAGATGTTGTAGCTGTCTTCTTCCAAATCTCCCTTATCAGGTGCTCCATTCTCGATCCATCTCTTCAGACTGCTCGTCATTCTATCATTTCGTTGAGCCCTTAGGAGATCCGACAGCCTGTACCTGGTTTTCAAATACGTCTTTACCACGTTCATTTGCCCACTCATTATTTCCGGAGCATGAGCATCGTACATCAACTTGACACGCCATATCTTTTTCAAAGGCGTCGCTTCCTGCACAGATGGTTCCAGATTGGTACGGACGACCGTACCATGTGGCAGCAATCTGGTTGGGCGTTTCGAAACTGCTATCAGCTCGAGCTCGTCTGCGGCATTATCTACCACAGTGCCCTCTTCATCTGAGGTGTATCTGTCCCTGTCTGGATCCTGATGCGTTTCTCGGTCCAGCCCACGCTGCTTCCAGTCTACTAATAAGGAATGGATTGCGATCTCTGACATATCGGAATTGGAAGTTGTTTCAGATGTGTTGTCCCAGGACTGGGGCCTCGAGTCAACACTTGAGTTGACTGATCCCCAACATCATATTCCAAGTTGTCTGAGATGTTTCTCGACTCCCCGGACAAAACTCTGTCCATTGGTCGCTTTGAACCCGACTCCCCGGACAAAATTCTGCCCCTAGGTGGTCTCGTCAACCTCTCCCCGGACAAGTCGTCCTGCACGGGCTCAAAGGTGTCTGACTCCTCAGACAAGTCGTCCTTGACTGGCTCGAAGGTATCAGACTCCCCGGACATTGTCTCGTCCCCGGACGAACAATCTGGGCTCGGCTCGTATTCTTCTTTCGCATCCGTGAAATGCACTCTCCTCGCGAAGCTAGATTTCGTTTTGATCCTGACTTCCTCAGTGGCTTGGGTCTGATTCAGTGTCCCATATTCAGTGAACGAAGTTCTCAACAAGACCTCCTTCGGCAT